CACGGTCTTCCCCTTGCGCAGCAAGGGTGAAGTCACTGAGGTGTTGATCGACTGGATCCGCGCAGAGAGAGATTCGGCTCGGACTTTCCTGTTCTGCGTCTGCACTCTGACAGAGGCGGGGAGTTTACCTCTGCCTGTCTGGGAGCCTTCTGTCGTGCACAGGGCATCCGCCAAACCTTCACGCTTCCGGCCTCTCCACAGTAAAATGGGATTGCTGAGCGCCGCATTGGTATGGTCATGGACGTCGCTCGTACGTCCATGATTCATGCGGCTGCCCCCCATTTTCTGTGGCCGTTTGCGGTTCAGTACGCGGCGCATCAGCTCAACCTTCAGCCCCGGGTCTCCTAGCCAGAGACCTCCCCCACCTTGCGGTGGACGGGGAAGGTTGGCGATGCGTCTGCGTTTCGGGTCTGGGGATCTCGGGCGTTTGTCCACGACTTGTGTGCGGACAAGCTGTCTCCCCGTGCTGTTCCCTGCGTCTTCCTTGGCTTCCCCCCTGACGCGCCTGGTTGGCAGTTTTACCACCCCACCTCGCGTCGTGTTCTGTCCTCCCAGGACGTCAGCTTTGACGAGTCGGTGCCTTACTACCGTCTCTTCCCCTACCGCGCTGCGCCCCTTCCCCCGCCGCCGCTCTTCCTTGTGCCAGGTCCTCCCCCGGTAGACCCCCTCCCCCCTCAAGGTCCTGCCCCGTCAGGTGTGTCCCAGGTAGACGCAGTCGAGCCTGTCAAGGTAGCTGTGAACTCTGGTGCTGCTAGAGGTGCTGAGCCTGCGGGTGCCGGGTCTAGAGGTGCTGAGCTTGCGGGTGCTGAGTTTGGGGGTGCTGAGCCTGGGGGTGCTGAGCCTGGGGGTGCTGAGCCTGGGGGTGCTGACTCTGGAGGTGCGGAGCCTGGGGGTGTGGAGCCTGGGGGTGCGGAGCCTGGGGGCACTGGGTCTGCTCGTGTGACCGCCGGCGGTGCCTTGTCGAGGCGGGAGCCACTCTCTCCGCAGGAGCTGCGCGACTGGTTTGCCCGGCGCTGGAGCCGTGCTGCTGGAGCTGGAGGTACTACTGTTGCTGCTGGTTCCGGAGGTGCTCGTACTGGCGGTGCTGGAGCTGCTAGGCCTGGGGGTGCTGCTGGGGCTGCTGGAGTTGGTCCTACTGGAGCTGCTGGCGGTACTGGAGCTGCCGGTCCTGCTATAGTTGGTGCTGCTGGAGTTGCTGGAGCTGGAGCTGCTGGGGGTGTTGGCGCTGGTAGTTCTGCTGGCGCTGGTGCGTCTGAGGGTGCTGGAGTTGACGCTGTTGGAGCTGGAGGTGCTGTTGGCGCTGGTGCTGCCGCTAGGGGTACTGGTGTTGTCCCTGCTGGTTCTAGAGGCGCTGCGCGGCCGCAGCCGTACTTCGTTCCGCTCCTTGAGCAGGTTTTTGGTCTCCCGCCTTCTACTGGTCCTGCTCCTCCCTTAGAGTGTCCACGGCCTGTCTAGTCGCAGTCACAGTTATAGCCCGCCTCCCCTCTACCTGCTCCTTCTCCCTACACTGGTCCTACTGAAGGTCTTGCTGAGCTTCGTGAGCCTACGTCTCGTCCTGCGTCGCATGTTCGTGCTGCTCGCGCTAGTCGTCGTGCTCCGCGTCCTCGTGCGGTCCCAGACACACACCAGATGGCACTGCGTCCTTCCACTGCTCCTCTGCGTGTCCCGTTGCCGTCTCCTCCAGAGTCCTCTCTTCCTGTTCTCCCTGACCCGGCCTCTGACTCTCTTCGTGCTGCCAGTCCTACTATCACGCATCTCCTGGCCACTGTTGTCACTGACCCTTCCTTTGAGTCCACTGCTGCGTCTACCTTAGTGGCTGAGCTTGTCGACTTCGCTGCTCGCTGTCGTCTAGACTACGCCACTAGTCTTGTTGCTGAGTCCGAGTCTGTCTGTCCTCCGTCCGTCGGGGGTGAGTGTGCTCTTAGCACGGACGTCCTTGAGGACAGGCAGGAGGAGTTCCAGTGTTTTGCTGCTGCTTTGCCTCATCTCGTGTCCACGCTAATTGCCCCTGAGGGAGACCCGGATGCACCAGACATCCTGACTCCTCGATCGTACGCTGAGGCGATCGAGGGTCCCTACTCCTCTCAGTGGCAGTCAGCCATGGACGTAGAGATGGCTTCCTGGAAGTCCACAGGCATCTACGTCGACGAGGTTCCCCCACCTGGGGCGAACATCGTCAGTGGCATGTGGATTTTCAGGGTGAAGCGGCCGCCGGGTTCTCGGCCTGTCTTCAAGGCGCGTTACGTGGCTCGAGGCTTCAGTCAGCGGCAGGGAGTTGACTACTTTCATACCTTCTCTCCCGCCCCGAAGATGACCACTCTTCGGGTGCTGCTGCACATAGCCGCTCAGCGCGACTACGAGCTTCACTCTCTTGACTTTAGCATAGCTTTCCTGCAGGGCAGCCTGCACGAGGAGATCTGGCTGCGCCGCCCACCTGGCTTCACTGGGTCGTTTCCTCCTGGTACCCAGTGGAGCCTCAAGCGGACAGTCTACGGTCTCCGCCGGGCGCCCCGTGAGTGGCACGACACACTGAGGACCACACTTGCGGCTCTTGGGTTTGCTCCTTCTATAGCCGACCCGTCGCTGTTTCTGCGCACCGACACCTCTTTGCCGCCGTTCTACATCCTCGTGTACGTCGACGACTTGGTCTTTGCCACTGCTGACACTGCTGGACTCGCCCACGTGAAGTTCGAGCTGCAGAAGAGACACACGTGCACAGACCTGGGTGAACTGCGCAGCTACCTTGGCTTGCAGATCACCCGGGACAGAGCACAGCGCACCATTACCTTGACTCAGTCACACATGGTGCAGCAGGTCCTTCAGCGCTTCGGCTTCACGTACTCCTCGCCTCAGGCCACTCCTCTGTCTACTCGCCACTCGCTCTCAGCTCTGCCTTCGGATGAGTCCGTAGAGCCGAGTGGCCCGTACCCAGAGCTTGTTGGCTGCCTCATGTACCTGATGACCTGCACACGACCAGACCTTGCATACCCTCTTAGCATCTTGGCACGCTATGTTGCTCCTGGGAGACACCGACCCGAGCACATGGCTGCAGCGAAGAGGGTGTTGCGCTACGTATGCAGTACGTCGGGCATGGGGCTAGTGCTTGGAGGGCGACGTCGAGTGGTCCTCACAGGTCACGCTGACGCTTCTTGGGCTGATGACCAGCCGACACAGCGGTCGTCACAGGGTTACACCTTCAGCCTTGGCTCCGGCTCTGTTTCGTGGCGGTCTACCCGCTCGTCTTCTGTTCTCACCTCCAGCTGTGAGGCTGAGATCTACGCGGGGGCCATGGCTGCACAGGAGCTACGCTGGCTCACCTACCTGCTGACTGACCTAGGAGAGCCGCCTCGTTCTGCTTCAGTTCTGTACGTAGACAACAAGGCCATGCTGGCCTTGTGTCGGGAGCACAGACTGGAGCACAGAACGAAGCACATCGCTCTTCGCTACTTCCTGGCTCGTGAGCTGCAGCAGCGTGGTCAGCTGCGCCTTGCTTACGTGGCCTCTGAAGCCAACACTGCTGATATCTTCACCAAGGCCCTTCCGCCTTGTGATCATTAGCGCTTCTGTGCTATGCTAGGTCTTGTGCCTACTTGGCCTCACTTGCTCACTTCGTGATCTTGTTTGTACTGTACTCTTTCTATACCTGCACTTGCTTGTTTACCTTTATATATATGATCTTGCATGTGAACTGGCCTTGTGGCCTTGCTCTTGTGCTCGGACTGTGTGGTGACGTTGTGATCCACCCTGAGCTTGCTTTGCTTTGCTTGACTGGTCTTGTGACCCCTTGTTCTCCCCCACTTTGCCTATGGGGGTGTGTCAGGCATATACCGTCATCACCCGGATATAAGACAGTGTTGAATAGTAGACTGGGGTTGTCTATTATACGGGTGTCTCTTATAAACGGGGTAGCCTCATTATAAGACACCTATTTGTGTGTAGGGGCAAATGGCAAATGTATAACGAGGAAGTATCTTCTAAACGGATTTTTGTCCATTTATAAGACTGATTTTCTTAATGTATGAGATAAGACATACATGTCTTATATCCGGGCGATGACGGTATGCTATAGTCTGTGTAGGCTGTAGTGGGGCAGTTCATATGGGGTACAACACTTTAGGGTTTACTACTTGTACTCCTCATTCTGCTCAATGCATTCATTCCTCGTTTCTTATCAAGTGACGGGTCAATATGCAACTCGTCCGCGACATTAGCGCGTTTCATGCTGACAAATAAAAATAGAGTAAAAGTCGCACAGGGGCGACACGCGTTTGTGACATTTTATGTTTTAAGCTGTTTTTACGCGCCACAAAAGGATTGAGACACAAGTGTCTCCACAGGAACGTCCCCTTGTCTTGAAAACGATTCCAAGAGCTTTACTCTGCCTAACAGAATAAACTGAAGGATCTATTGGACACGATAAGGTGCTAGAGATTTTAAAACCAGGGTCTCAAGTAAGAGATTTTGCCATCAATTGCAAAACATTTGAGACTTGCTTTACCTTGTGTTTGTAGGCGAAATGGACTGGTTGGCTAGGGAAGTTGGCGTGAGACACTCCCCCTATTTTGCCTCAGCACCAATTGCAAAACAAATTTCGGGTACATGAGACTCTCGACCATTCTTGACATTTCACTGGCACTGTAGCTTCGGCTCCGAGCCTGTTTCCATACCTAGAAGGTTTGGAACACAGCAAGCGATTTAGTTCCCTTCGCATCCCTCGCTCCACCCCTTCTCGTTTTCTAGGGCTCGTCAACCAATGGGAAACGGGTATTTCCCATCAACTGCAAAACAAATGATCTACATGAGACCCTGGTTTTAAGATAGCAGAAGCCTTGTATTGGCCCCGCTCATACGGTAGTGGATGCGTATGACACCATACGTACCGTATTTCATTCCATTCATAATATTTCAGAATTAGTACCGGTACATAGGAAAATGGGGCAACACTCATACAACATGCAAGAAGACAGACTCCTCCCTACTTGTCTCCCTATCCCCCCTGCTTACTTTATGGGCTGAACGGCTATAGGAGACCGCACTATGTGCCCCTGGTCATCTGTCCATGTGAGACTGCCATAGACAAAGTTTGGATTCTTTCTTTGAACTGTAAATGTAACTGTGTAGGCCACAGTTTGCCCTGGCTCGATCATGAAACTCTTAGGGGCCACAACCACGCTTACACCGGCTGGAGATTCCACCGACGATTCGTACGTTGAAGCCTCACTGGCGACGTTGGTAACCCGTCGCGTTACCGTCAGTGTTCTCTGAAGTTTCGACACACTAATTGACGCACGGTTGAGATTGCACGCGCGGATGGCCTTCACTGTCATCGAACGGAACTCCTTCTTCGCTTGATTCATATTCACGCCCGCGAGGAAATTCCTGTATTCCGTCTCATTGGAGTCGTACGTCAGGCCGGGGTCGAGAACACTCATAGGGTTCACGTGCCCCGCGCCGATCTCCCACGGGTTCGCGACGCGGTCGCCTGTTGGAGGCGACTGGCGCCCTTTCGCCATCGTCCGAATCAGCGCTTCCTTGTTGTTTGTCACGCTTGCCGTGGTCATCATTGCTGACATGACCTGAGCTGGAGTCCACGAAGGCTTCTGCTGGATTATAAGCGCCGCGATTCCCGCAACATGCGGTGTAGCCATCGACGTCCCCGAGAGTCTCTTAAAATAGTCGTCATAGTCGGTTAGTGAGGGGCTGGGCGCGGCGCCCCAGAGCTGAACGCCAGGAGCGATGATGTCGGGTTTAAGGATGTCGTTAGTGGGCCGCCCGGGCGCCGGGGCAGCGGCTGGCGCGGCTACAGGGCCGGTGGAAGAGAAAGGCGCGAGAATAGGCGCCTCGTCGGGGGTGTCAGGGGACTCAGTGAAGCTGAGAAGAGGGGGGAAGGGGAGATGGGGAGAGGGTTGGGGACAAGGGAGAATGGGAGAGGAATGCGTGAGAGAGTTGGGCGTGTGATGGGTGAGGAATTGGTGAGGATAGGAGGAAGAGAATGATGGGATGTTGGTCTAGGCTTTGTAAGGAAGCACAAGGGAAGCAGCAGGGGTGAGAAAGAGAAGGCTGTGCGAAGGATGAAGGAGGGGAAAGCATGGCACTACGAGGAACAGGGAACATGGCAGATCGGGAGGGGAGAAGTGGGAACTGTAAAGTACGGGCAATGGGTAAGGGGGTTGAGAAAGGGGAGGGGCTATACATCAAGCCTTTGAGTTCCTTGGAAGAGACTGTGACGGGCCCGTCAGACTTGGTGGCCACACCAGACCCAGCATCGGCATCAGCGTCAGCATCAGCATCAGCACCAGCACCAGCATCAGTATCGGCAGCACCACTGCTGCTGCCGCTGCTGGAGGTTCCAGACGTGGCCAGTGAGTCGGCGCTGTCAGCGCCGGCATTGGGATCGGAGCTGGGAGCCTTTTTGGTCAGGGCCGTGATTTCTTCGCCTGCCATGTCTGTGTAGATGCTTATCGTGCTGATGCGGGGACGAGGGGGGAGGGGACAAGGGGACGGGGGAGGGGGAGGGGAAGAGAAGGCGGACGATAGAGGAGGGAAAGGTGAGTGGTGTTTTGCGCTGGTCGTGTGTAGTGGCTCTCGTGGTGCTGCGCGCCGAGAAAAGAACCAAGCGAGGGAGGCGTTGCAGATGCACGAGTAGATGACGAGGGAATACCACGGAGAGCGGGGAGAGCGGGAAGCGGGGAGCGGGGAGTGTACCTGGCTCCCACGGAGAGATACCACGGCGCGAAGTTGTCAATAAGGCGGTACTCCCCCCTGGCCGGGTGCACACTGCCTGCATTGCCCGCTGCGAACGCCACCACCACGCCCGCCTGGCGAAAGGGAGGAGGAAAGGGGAGGAGGGAAGGGGAGGAGGGAAGGGGATGTGAGAGGGAGGAAAGGAAGTGGAAGGAAAACTGACTTTCTGGCACACCTCAAGGCCAGCAAAAATGGAGCTCGCGGAAAACTTGCATCATGCATCTTGCAACTAGTAAATGGAGCTTGAAACGTGCAGGTTGGAGGTGGGAAGGAGTCATGAGGTTGCAACGATGTACAACGAGCAGCAGACGTACGGCGTGCGCGTTGAGAAACGGCAGGTCGTCGAAGTACGTGGCGCGCGTATCCACGCCTCCGAACGACAGGCTGAGCACATCCACGCCATCCGCCACGGCGGCATTCACGGCAGCGTTGACGTCCGCGGAGTTGGCCCACATGCTGCCCGCGTGCGTCCAGAAGATCTTGTACACCGCGAGGCGCGCGCGCGGCGCCATGCCGCTCGCCGTGAGGTCGCCTATGGCGACGCCGTTGTTGCCCGCCGCCGCGCTGGCAGGGGGAGTGAGGGGAAGGAAGGAAGGCGTGAGTGAGCGGGTGGGACGGAAGGGAATAGAGACGGGGTGGTGTACGAAGACGTGTAGCAGACGACGGGGGAGAGGGATGGTAGGAGGAGGAAGAGGAAGAGAAGGGAAGGGAAGGGAAGGTATGGGAGTGGGAAGAGAGAGAGAGAGAGACAGCCACGTGACGCAGCAGGGCAGCGAAGCGCGTACCTGGCACACCACGTGCCATGGCCGTCGGTGTCGCGCGGCGAGTTGAAGTCCTTAGAGAAGTCGATCTTGCCCTTGACCTCCTTGTTAAACGCCGCGTTGAAGAAGCGCGCGCCCACGACCTTGCCGTTGCACGCGGGGAAGTCCGCCGTCGTCTGGCACTCCCCCTTGAACGACGCCGGCGGGTCGCCGTACGGGTTCACGTCCTGCTTGCGGTTGCGCAGAAGGGGATGCGCGGGGAGCGGGGAGATGGGGGGCGGTGGGGGTGTGGGGTGTGAGAGGGGCTGACGAGGCTGGAAAACTAGGAGGGCGCATGTTCACTCCGCACATTCTTCTGCTGTCGCAGCATTCTCCGGACTTCACTCAAACGGCGCACGTGTGCGCCACGCGCCGTGTTGGCGAACGACGCGCGCTCGGACCAGATCTCCAAATTTCTCCGGACACTCGAACGCCGCAGGCACCGTATATTCTGAGGCGCCTAAAAAATACGCACCGTGTTGGCGAACGACGCGTGCTCGGGCCAGATCCCCGAGTCGATCACGCCCACCACCACGTCTTCCCCCGCCGACGTCTCCCCGCCCGCGGAGGCCCAGAGCGACTGCGGAAGGCGCAGGAACTGCGGGGAGTGCGTGGTGGAGGGCGCCAGGCGCACGCTCTGCGTGACGGCCGCGACGTCCGGGTGGGTCTGCAGACTGCGGACCTGCTTCGGCGAGAGCACCGCCGCGAACCCGTTCTCCACGTGGGTGTAGCTGATAGGGGGAGCGAGTTAGGGAAGGAGAAAGAGGGAGGGAGAAAGTGGGAGGAGAGTGAGTGAGAGAGAGAGGCTGCCGGACGACGGACAGGCCGACGGGTTCAGTTAGTCAGGCACTTGTGCAAGAGAGACGACTTGACATCCCCGTTGCTCACCTGTGAATGAGCTTGTTAGTGGCAACACCCACGTCCTGCGCAATCTTCTTCTGCTGGTTCTTGAGAAACTTCACAAACGCCTTCACGTTCGGCGCGCGAGCGTTCAGCTTCGTCCGCTTCTTCCACAGCTGCTTCGCCGATTTCGCTAGCCTGCCGAGCGCGTTCGCGGCGGTGGTGGCCGGCGAGGTGGCCGGGTAGCCGGCGATTCCGCCGGAATATGCGGTGACGGGTGGGTCTTTAAGGCGGACTATGTAGACTGGGTCGAATTCGCCTGGCGGAACATGAAAGGGTTAGAGAGGCAGGGAGAAAGAGAAAGGCGGAGGAATGGCGGGAGGGAGACAGGCGGGGAAGAGGGTTACGGCACGAGAGAAGTGGTGAGGGAGAAGGTGGGAAAACGAGGGAAAGAAAGAGCGGGTATAACACGGGGGAGTGACTGGACAGGTGCTTGCTGCTGATTCTTCCCGTGCAATCTCGGTCAATGCGCATCCCACGGCCCGTCGACCATCCACCGTTAGTGCAGCAATAAGGAGCACGCGCGGTAAACGGCCCGACGCGGTAAGCAGCACGCAGTCGGACGGCCAGCTCCACCCCCGAGAAGGATTGCGCCCCCCGCCCTGCAACGCACGCGCTCATCCCATAACGGCTACGTCCCCCGTGCGCGCTACATTCCTGTGCGCGGGCGCTACATTCCGCCGTCCAGCGTCAATGAATGCGGGGGTGTGGCGTACCTTGATCGGCGAGGCACGGCGCGACGAGAGAGAGCAGCAGCAGGAGCGGAGGCAGCGCCACGAGTGATGCGCGCGCAAGGGGCGCGGAAGGCGCCATGTGCGCGGTCCTGGGGGTCCTAAGCGCGGAAGATCAGTGCGCGGAGGGCCAGTGGTGCGGAGGATGCTGAAGCTCAGAACCCGGAACGCGACACGAGACTTTCTAGTCGAGCTCAAAGGCACGCGTGAACTTAGGCAGTGGAAAGCTGCGCAGTGTCAGGAAGGTTGTGCAGGTGGGTAGTCGTGGGACGGCTGGTCCAACTATCTAAGATTCTTATGGTCGAAGCGTCACGCGGCACTGGGTTTGTTGACCTGGCGAGGCATGTGTGGTGGCTGGAGCGTAGACTCCAAGGAATACGCTCCGACTGATGAAGTAGCTGGCCCGTGCTACAAATTAGTAGTCACTAAGTAGGTTCAATGCACGTTCATGTATACTAAAGATAAATGAAGTGGGAAACGGGAAACAACGCAAGCGGTTAGGGAAACTACGCATCAGTCGAGTGCTATCGTTTATCGTTTGTGGAAAGGCGAGGTGAGAAATATTCTTGATCTCTTGACCCAGCGAGTTTGGTTCGGGTTGCAATTTTCGGTTTCAGAGAGTCATGACATGACTCAAGCCCACAAGGTCGTCGTATCGCTTTCAAGCGTTGTGTCTGGCGGCATGTGAGGAAATTCGCTTGCGTGATAGGGGAAGGAGCGGGCATTGCGGTGGAATTCATCAATGGGGAAATGGAGAAATGCGAGGGAGGAAGGAAGTGGGAAGGGGGTTCCATCGGTTGGCGGGAGGGACGCAGGGAGGCAAGGCAGAAAGGCTGGAGGGAGGGAGGTAGAGAAAGAACAGTACCGCACTGTTCCAGTTTCGATACACCTCAGGTGACGCGGTTCAGTTGCGTCCGAAGCCAGGGTGGTGACGCCCTGCATGCCGTAAAACACGGTCCACACCAAGGGGCAGATTGTTGCAGGATAGGTGTTTGTTTGTCGGACACGGTGCTTACGATTTCTCTCAAATTCCTACTCGAGCTTCTCCATCAGTTCTGTTTCCCTCCACTCCACTTCGAGTCATTATGGCAGCGTCAACGCAGGGTTCGATCATAAGCACCCGCTAGTAGGGTTAATACAGCAAATGTTTCTGGATGCCCGAGGCAATCTGCTCTGCTGGTTCAGGTGTAGTACAAACAACAGCTCACGTACTGCACGGCGGCTCGATGGCGGCGCTGCAAAGAGGCGGCTCAGGTTGGAAAAAACACATCTGAACCGAACTTAGACTTCATTCAGATGAGATGGGGGAGTCTGGTTGCTTGTTGGCAAGACTGTCTGTTCCCTACTGCTGCCACTAGCTAGCGTGTGGCATGAGCGCGCTGCGTAGGAGGAAAAAAATTGGAAGTTAGGGCTCGACATGTAGGTATATCGTTATGAGTACGCGAAATAATGAATAACAAAGCTGAAGATGTGACAAAAACATTTACGGTATTCACTCAGATTGGTTCATCTCAACGGGAAGGATTGTGTGAGAGGGAACCACCTGGCCCCCCTTGGGACCAACAACGGAGAGCAACGGAACGGGTTGCAAACTGGGCTCGACATGCAGGGGCCAGCGACGGGAGCGACGGATGCGAAATCCGTTGAGACAACCCCGAGAGAACTGTTAAATATGTTGGAAACAATAAGTCCTAAGTGCGCTTCTGTCGTATCAAAATCCAAGGCACCAAGCGAAGCAGTCCCAATCGAAGCATCGAGTCAACCTCGGAGGTTAGGGTAACCGCCTGGAGGTTACGAGAAAGTCAAAGGTCGCTGACCTTTGACTCGACAATTACAGCGCGACAGTTAAGGACACACAACTGACTCGTTACAGAGCAGTTGCCCGAGTCGCACTATATCGAACCGCAACAGCAATACAGTTATCTATCTATCTATTCGTATTCCCTGTACTCGTATATAAATCCTTGTATTTGCTTGTTTAATTTAATCTACTTTGCTCTCACACACCAGTGCAAGGTCGGTTCACAATCCTCATTAAACGCTTCCGCTATTACAAGTTTCTACCCAAGAGTTCTCCTCTGCAAAGATCCTAAGGGCTATTTTTTTTCAGCCCAACATGGTATGAGAGCTGACAGGGGAAAACTCTAACTTTTTGATCATTACAAGACATGGCAACAAACAAGGAAAGGAGCTCCCCTAATGGCTCCTCGGGCACTACTCCTACTCCACCGCCAGCCTCTGGCCTGCAGACAGAGGAAGGCACGGCAGCAAGACCAAGGGGAACGTCAACCGAGACCCCCACGAACCATCCTTCTGACTTCGACCAGAGCATGATGGAGAAATTTTTCTCCTTCATGTCCTTCTACGAGCAACACCAGCAGTCGGGACCTGCACAGACACACAACAGCAACAACGGAGCGACACCCATGAGCCTTGACGGGTCGTCATACGCGCGAGGGAATCAACAGCAGCAACCCACCTTCGCCCCGTACGAACGCGGGTCGATCAGCTTCCTGCCTCAACCTCCACCTGCGCAAGACAAACCAAGGGATGCCTTACAAGTACAGTCGCAGTTCGCGCACGTTCTGAAACTACAGACGTCAAGACCTTTCGACGGAAAGGACTTCTTTACCTGGTCCTTTGAATTCGAGTTGATGATGGAGGGCGCGCAGATACTCGGCTTCTTCGACGGATCCCTGCAGTATCCAGCAAACGGGACACAGTATGAAAAGCAGCAGTATACGTATCAATCCATGATGGCGTATACTATTCTACTGAGAAACATCACACCAACCCAGTAGCAGAACATTCGCTCTTACCGGAACTTCGGCAACTCGGCGGAACTCGCGTACGGCCATCTGAAGAACCTGTACTAGGCAACAGACAGTGTAAACCAGAGCAGGTTAATGGCGCAACTGACAACAGTTGAAATGAAACCAGGAGAAAAAGGGTTGGCGTATATCAGCCGATGTCGCGAATTGCGCGACAAGCTTCTTCGATGTGGAGGGTCAATCTCTGAAGACGCCTTCGTAACAGTCGTCATCGGTGGCCTCGGTCCTCAGTGGCGCGCCACCAAAGCAATTCTTCGAGCACACGGGAGGATCTCCGAAGCGGCACTTTGCGCAGAAATTCACGCCGAGCAGCATGATATGGACCTGCAAGAAGAAAGACACAAGAAAAGGACATTAGCACCGGAGTTTGCTTTCCATACTCAGCGACGACACAACAACTACAACAATCGACAGCAGCAGCCGAAGCTAGTACCTCCATTTTGTCACATCTGCAAGACATCAGGACACCCACGCACGCACTGCCCGTCTCGACAGACAACACCACAGCGACAACTGCGGCCTTCAAGCACCCAAGTTGCTTCGACACAAGCAAGCTCGACAACCACGATTCAAGCTTCAACGACCTCAACTGGACAACCTGCGCAAGGAGCAAGACATATAGTCAACTGCATGGTCAAGATAAACGACTCTTGCATAACAGAGTCACCACCCCATTACTCACCGGAAGAGGAGCTCGACAACAGGACGCCTCGTCGCGAATCACTCCATCCAAATCCGACTTACGCCGCTATCGCTCAAAGTGAACCGTCCGGCCAAGACACCTGGTTCTTGGACAGTTGCTGCGGGCAACACATGTGCTCGTCCGGGCGTTTCGTACAACGCGAACATCGACTCCAACGGGAAGTAATCATCACGGTTGCCAACAACCAAAACCTGCGCACACGAAGACAAGGAGTGGTACAGCTTCAGTCAAGAGAAACAAATGTCATACTGCACATGTCTAAGGTACTCATCGCTGAAGGACTCGGCTACAACTTACTGAGCGTTAGCCAGTTGATGGCGAAAGGAATTCATCTGGAAGCCGACAGCACGACCCAGGAGTTCAAGCTTTACCACGGGAGAGGCGGTCTCTACATCGGGAAAGCAGTGCTGAAGAACAACGTCTTCGTCCTCGACTTCGCTCCCGACCTCGGCACTGCAGACAGCGACGCCATTGTGAACTTTGCTGATTGGACACACCCTCCGGATCTCGACCCCGACTTCAGCCCGGGAGGTTTCTGGTACTCCCACACTATCCCTGAAGCAGAGCGAACAAGAGCGTTAGCAACGATTCAACAAGAAGCAGAGACGACAACATCGGCAGCAGCGACAACATCGGCAGCAGCGACAACATCGGCAGCAGCAACAACATCAGCAGCAGCAGGAACAACGACACCAGTCACAGTCGACGAAGCACCACCAACACCCGCGCAACAGCTGAATCCGACTCAACGTGAAGTCCACCGAAGCGCCAACCTCGTCGCCAGCTTTTACTCCAACTCCGACGCATATCAGCGTTCACCTGGACACCGCGCCTCTGAAGAGATCTGGCACGCACGCACAGGGCATCCAAGCAACACGGTTTTGAATAACACGATAAGAGCAGGAGTCCTCGACAAAGACTCTCTACTTCTACCCAATGGCAGAGAACTCCAGAAGGCACGAGGGACTTGCCTTATATGTCCCGAAGCTGACTTACCTCATCGACCGTTTGCTTCACATCACAACCCGAGCGCTCCAGCGTACGCACCACTCGAAAAAGTCTACAGCGACATCCTCTACAATCGCGAACCAGGACAAGTCAACTACAACTACACCATCACCTTCATCGACGCCGCCACTCGATACGTCTGGCATCGCAACCTACCCAGCCGCGACATGGCGCTCGCAGCATTCGCCGCCTGGCTACCGATAGCAGAGAGAGAGTCTGGAACACAACTGAAAAATTTCCAGTCAGACGGAGGTGGCGAGTACACCTCTCAGCGCTTCAAGCAGTTCTTGGCGGAAAGGGGGATCAAGCAACTCCTCTCCCTTCCCTACGCACATCAGCAGCAAGGTGTTGCAGAACGACTGAACAGGACCCTGCAGAACAGCATGCGCAAACTGTTACGTGGCATGCGGCTACCTAACCACCAGTGGCCAGCAGCAATGGACCACGCTGTCATGCTGCACAACTTGTTGTCGTCGTCGTCACTCCCGAACAACGCATCACCGCATCTGCTGTGGACAGGGAAGCATGGCAGCACGAAAA